TTTAGTTTGGGCCTGGACTGCAGTTGGCCCACACTTATAAAACACAACCCAATTCTCTTTATTTCTGCATTCTGTTCATTCAAAACCGTCACTTTCAACCAAAAATCTGTATTGATACAGCTAGAACTGGGTTAAGCTCACAAAACATCAATTGTAGCTCTGCCTCTTAGCTTTCCAACGCCTAAAGAATCATCTCAATCCGATACCTAGAGAAAAAGATATGGTTAAATTACTACAGCATGTGCAAATTGTCACTTATTACAAAATTAATTTCTATCTTAATTTCCACCCACAAATAATGAATTTAATATAACCAAAGGTGAAACAAAGTTACAAAAAACCTATAAAATTTAATTCTATGCTCAAAAAGAGTAGATAAATGCATATAAAAATTAAACTCATCATGTGCCCTTCCCATTCTTCCAAAACCCTCTTCCCTTTTGGCCTTCCTGGCATTTTCTTGGCTGGTGGGGGTTGAATAGGTGGCATTCCAGTTTTCTCCCACTGATTCATCCCTTCAATTACAGGTACAGCATACTCATAAGCAGCTTTAAACTTCTCCTTCCTATACCAATCTGATACATAATCTTCTGCTTTTCCTTCCTAGCATTAATAGCTACCATGGCATGCCTACAAGGGATTCTAGTGAGATCCCATTCCCTGCATGTGCACTTTCTTTCATCCATATTAACCATGTATACATCCGCACCATTCTCTTGAACTTCATAACAGTTACTACCCGACCATAAGAATTTGCACCTTCTGCTTCCCCTCGTATTTGCTACCAGCTTTTCCCATGTTCTTGGACCAAAATCATCTACAAACTTTCTATCCCCAAATTCCCTTCTTGCCACTGTCCTTTGACCACAAAATGGCCTCAAATCTTGATGCAATGAGACAATAGCCTTATGTCTTGATTCAACCAACAATCCATTAAAAACCTCACACATGTTATTATCAACTATATCTGACTTTGTCTCTGTTTGGAAGAACGCTCTACACCAATGCTTTGGGTCTATGTTGAACATAGTTTCCCTTGTAGAAGGTTTCAATGATGTCAACTCATCCAGAGCTTTGCTAAACTCAGGTACTGTTCGTGCCTTAACACACTTCCAGAATGCCTTTTGCAGCTCCTTGCCTTTATGTTGCTTCCTAAAATTGTTGTACTTATGTCTAGCACAGAACCTGTGTTCAGCACATGGGAAGAGCTCCTCCACAGCCTTAACAAGTCCCTAAAATCACATGAACATAAAGTGTAAGTCCCTGAAATCACATGAACATGAATTGCTAGAGGACCCAATTGCTTATAATGCTAAATAAGTCATAAAACACGTTGGTACTTACCTTTTGTTGGTCAGACATAATGCAAAACCTGCTTCCATCACCCATGAGCAAATCTTTCCTCAGTTCTTCAAAAAACCATTCCCATGTCTCCCTTTTCTCAACCTCCACTACAGCCCAAGCTATCGGGTACATTTGATTGTTTACATCCCGTACAACAGTAGTCAGCAACTCTCCTTTGTAGGCACCTTTGAGGAATGCATCATCAACTCCTATTACACGTCTGCATCCAGCAAGAAATCCCTTCTTCAACGCACTGAAATAGACGTACATCCTTAAAAATGTAGGAGTTGTATCTGCTGATTGTCTACAACACTGAAGCACAACGCTTGCTTCTGGATCCTTTGACTTAAGCTCATTTGCATAATCAAATAACCTGCTGTATGCAGCATTAGAAACACTTTCAAATTTCTTCTTGAACTTATCCTTTGTCTTCTTACGTTGCACAGGTGTCAACTCCACACCTAAATCATCCCGAATTGCCTCAAAAACATCTCCCCTATTCATACGCAGGGAAGCTACTCCTCTTGTCTTAACTAGATGATCAGCAGCAACAGATGATGTGCAACCTTTATTTGTAATAGTCCTCGAGCATGTGTGACAATTATAGAAAGTTTTTACCATCCAAGAATTTGTAGGAGTGTCCAACGCCAGTAGAATCTTCCAGTCACATTTCTCATTCTTGCACACTGCCCTCATCCGGAGCTTATCATTTTTTTTCCATGTAATCTCTGTCCCTTCCCTAATGCTCAATTGACCCACAGCTTTCTTGAATTGTTTCTTATTAAGAAATATCATACCAAGCTCAATTTCCTGGTTGCCTTCACTTTCATCAAAGACAGGATGCCTTGCTTTTCTTCTGACACCATGTTCTGCTTCACTGTCCTCTTCATCACTTGTGGTTTGGTAACTTACTTCATCACCAGAGTGTATTTCTGCATCATCCTCACCTTGAACAGCAATGTTTATATTATCTACAATAGAAACAAATATTCATTAACACCAAATGTAAAGGTAAATGTAAATGTAAATTATGCTTAAAAACTAAATGGATAACACTATTATGAAAATAAGAGTAATACCAGCATGCTGTTGAGTCGAACTATAATGCCTCAAATTATCCCTTGCTAAAATAGTCTCCTCATCTTCATTGTCAGACAACTCAGGAAAATCCTCAAGCCCATGCTCATACTCATTTTCCTCAAGATCTTCAACATTATCTATATCAGGTTGTTGAGGAAAACAATCATTATGGACATCACTACCAGCAACAAAGTGGTCCCCATGTTCTGTGCTCCTATAACTACCAGCCTCATTAAATATTGCATCCTGTTCATCACTGTTATTGTCCCTCCTTTCACCAACCTCATTAAATGCCTCATCCTCATTGATCCTACTCCCACCAACATCACTACAAAGCCCACCAGCATCACTAAAAGCCCCACCACCAGCATCACTACAAACCCCACCACCAGGTTCTAAAGGATCACCAGGTGCTGGGAGCATTAAAACAGGAGATACAGGAACTATTTCAGCAAAGTTGGAGATGTGATCCACATATATATGAACTTCACCATGTCCCTTCATCACGTCCAACACTTCCCTAACTGTGTCGTCTCCAATAATTTGCTTTAAACCATCATCCAATGATTTGTTTGGTTCAAGATAATAAATACCTTCCACTAGATTAACATCATATCTACCAATTCTAACTTTCTAATAAAACTCCCAAACTATTAACAAGTTCGGATTCACTTGCCATGTATCACACTCCCCATCAATATATCTAAGGTTACCATCGCGGTCGTGTTTAAAACTACCACCAATGTGGATATACATTGGCAAGTAGTCACCACTCTTTTCTTCAATCTATTCATATCAACAATATAAAAAATAAAAAGATAATCAATACTCAACAATTAGTAGTGCTGCATCCAAACCCAACCACTTTCA